TCTCAGGGCACATACAAGAAGCAACCAACGAATGCATAAATAAGTGGAACAACAACTCTCCCCACAAACAAACAAACAAACAAACGAATGCATACTATGCCCATGAGCATCTCTTATTTTTCCTATATTAACAGTAGGGCTTACACCTAGCATTAATTCTGCTTCCCGCTTTGTCATTGTGGCTCAAACCCACCACTGTAACAGCCCCCACTGAAGGCAGCTTTTGGTAGACTTTGAAAAACTTGTTTGACTTGAGGCTCCGCATGCTTCCTGGCTTGCAAAACAAAGTGGCTTGCAAGTCCTGCACCATCAATGGTCAGTGCAACAGCTACCCTTGTACTGGCCCTGGTTCCGGCTCCCCTGGGCTCCTACCTCCACTGAGAGCATGGTTCATCCAGCTCAGAGGCCGCAGCCACAACACCACACCTCTACCAGAAAACAGCGTGGCCACTGCCCGCTGGGACAAACGTACAGACACAGGTGCCCAGGAAACACAGCCGTGGTGGCCTATCCACCCTTTTATGGGGAGAATATTATTCATTGTGTAAATGTCGTAAGTTATTGAACTACAGTCATGCTCCACTTAATGATGGGGATACTTTCTGAGAGACGTAATGGTCACCAGGCCATTATGTCATTGTTTGCACGTGATAGAGGGCACTTGCACAAACCTAGATTGCATAGCGTACTGCACTCCGAGGCTATCTGATATAGACTGTTGCTTCTAGATTACAAGCCTATTCAGCATGTCACTGTACAAAACATGAGATTAAATCAACCAAGGGACACAGTAAATAGGAAATGTATAAGGCTGCCGCTGATGTGACGCAGCGTACTGTCTTACGCACTAAAATATAACAACTATAGTATAGTAAAGACACAAACTAATAACATATTTGTTTGTTATCATTACCAAGTATTATGTTCTGTATCTAATTGTATGCTGTACTTTTATATGGCTGGCAGTGCAGTAGGTTTTTTATTTTTATTTTTTAATATATTTTATTGATTTTTTTTTTTTATATAGAGGGGAAGGGAGAGGGATAGATAGTTAGAAACATCGATCAGCTGCCTCCTGCACATTGCCTATTGGGGATGTGCCTGCAACCAAGGTACATGCCCTTGACCGGAATCGAACCTGGGACCCTTCAGTTCCCAGGCTAACGCTCTAACCACTGAGCCAAACCGGTTAGGGCTGCTATAGGTTTTTACACCAGCATCACCACAAATGTGAGCAATGTGTTGCACTATGATATCATTAGATGTTCGGAATCTTTCAGCCGTATTACAGTCTGTGGGACCACCATCTTTAATGTGGTTCACCTTTGACTGAACTGCTGCTATATACCATAGTCCCTTTTTTGATGGACGTCAAGACAAACATTTTTGTTTTACCATGATAAACAAGATTCCAGTAAATAGTCTCCTATATACAGTATTACTGTGCACTTTTAGCTAGTATACGTGCAGGACAAATTCCTAGAAATAAACTGATAGGTCATAGGGCAAGCACACTTTAAATTTCGACATGTTTTGCCAAATTGCTCTCCAAAAAGATTTCATCAGTTTGCACTCCTTTTAAAAAGAAACCCAATAATATGGAGAGGTGTGGAGTAAAAAAAAAAAAAAAAAAAAAAAAGAAAAGAAAAGAAAATTGTGCCTTCCCCAGCCATTTTATCCCCAGACAGAGTTTGGGTATCCTTCTCAACTTCAGATTTTACAAATAGATTATAATTTTGGTATATTGATGAAAGTATGTTCTGCCAGTGCATTTTTCAATGGACAGTATATGGTGGCTCTGTTTTCAATATTTATTGAATAGCGTCTACTGTTAAAACTGAGAGTGGCTGAGGATATGGTAAGTGAGGGTGGGGGGCTGGCAAGCATTGAGCGTTTCCCACTTGTTTGTCAATGAGGTGGAGGCGCCTCTTTGGGCACCAGTGGGAGTGGGTCCTTGATATTTGGGCAGATAATGTTGATTACAGCTCCTAAATGAGGTGCTTTTTGTAACCAGCTACTTTTCATGTGTTTAAACTTCATGTGTGCATTTATTTAATTTCTTCCCCACTCTCTAACTTGAAGTGATTTTATCTGGTTTACAGGCAGATCATATGGTCAGGAGCTGGGATAGCATCAGTTCTAGACAAGAGTGTGTGAATGGTATAGGACCATGGTCGGCAAACTGCGACTCGAGAGCCACATGCAGCTCTTCGGCCCCTTGAGTGTGGCTCTTCCACAAAATACCACGGCCTGGGCGAGTCTCTTTTGAAGAAGTGGTGTTAGAAGTTTAAGATAAAAAATTTTGGCTCTAAAAGAAAGTTCAATTGTTGTACTATTTATATTTGGCTCTGTTGGCTAAGGAGTTTGCCGACCACTGGTACAGGACAGAGATTTTCAACCTTTTTCATCTCATGGCACACATAAAGTAAAATTACTGAAATTTTGTGGAACACCAAAAAATATATATTTGTCAATATGACAAAAAAAAAAAATAGATGTAATTTTGATTCATTCACCCCAGATGCCTATTGTAGTGTTGGTTGTTATTTTTCTTTAATTTGACAATCTTAGGGAAAAGAGGTCAGTGCTCTAGACTAAATAGGTATTGTATATTTTAAAAATTCTTACAGCACACCAGTTGAAAATAAGCTTGTGTAGGACACCATACAGGGTAAAATCCTGCACACTTTGCTGAGAGGGCTTCAGTGACATTTGAGCTGCATCTCAACATTTACTAGTGTTACAGTTTCAAACATATGCCCAACCAACTAAACCACATCAGCCAATGCCTCAGAGTCTTCTTGTTTCCACTTTCTTCTCTCTCTCTCTCTCTAAATCTTAAAAAAAAAAATCTGAGGAATTTGATGATGACCTGGGCTTTGGTCTTTTAAAAAAATATTATTATTTATTGATTTGAGAGAGAGAGAGAAAGAGAAAAATCAATTTGTTGTTCCACTTAATTTGCATTCATTGGTTGCTTCTTGTATGTGCCCTGACCAGGACTGAACCCACAACCTTGGCATACTGGGATGATGCTCTAATCAACTGAACTGCCAGGGTAGGTCTGGTCTTTGGACTAAAGTTCTTTTGTAACACGTTCAATAAAAAGCTGAAGTCTGAAAAAAAAAAAAGAAGAGAAAGTAGGAGGAGAAGGAGGAGAAGGAGTGGCAGGAGGAGGAGAAGGAGGAAAGTCAGCATTTACTGGTAGTAGGTAGTTCATTTTGTAGAGCTGTAGTCCTGTAACTCCCTGCTGCTGTCACAATTGGTCATTCTGGTAACTGGTTTTGAAAAACACATAAGTGGTTCATGAAATTAATGTAGAGGGTGGTGACTGGCTTTTTATAAGAATGGGCTAGAACACAATAAAAAGTATGAGTGTTCCCTGCATAATGAGGGTAATAATTATTTTGTGAAACTTTTCTTTCTATTACAGATTTAGTATAAAGAGTATGTTTCTTACTATGGGCAATAGTCAAGTATATAAAGAACACTTTAATATGTAGGATTATTATTATTTTATTTAAAAATCATGTTCTTTTAAAAAATTATAAAAGAAATTAAAACAAGACATAGGTCTATTCTAAGTGTATTAGTTTCCTGTGCCCTAATGAATTGCCCCCCAAAAAAATGGAGGCTTAACCAAAAGAAATTAATTCTCTCACCTTTGTGGCAGCCAGAAGTCTGAAATGAAGATCTTGTCTCTGAAGGTTTCAAGGGGAGAGTCCGGTCCTTGCCTCCTCTAGTTTCTTGTGGCTATTGGTGTTCCTCGGCCTGTTCCTTAGCATCACTGCAATCTCTATGCCTCCCTTTTTATGCCTCTTTCCTCTCTTCTCTATTTTCTCTCTTAAATCTCCCATGGCCTTTCTCTTATAAAGACACTTGCCATTGGATTGGGGCCCACCTGGATAATCCAGGATGACCTCAGATTAAGGTCCTTCATTATATCCGCACGGAACCTTCTTCTCAGTGAGGCAGTGATCACAGAGTCCAGGGATTGGGACATGGACTTACCTTTTGAGGCCACCTTTCAACCTGCTGTACTAAGTGAAAAGTGAAGGACTGATCTCTACACCTATTAATCCTCCACCCAGGCCAACCACTCATTCTGGTGAACCTGGGTGCAGAGCTAGAAGAAAAGTGATGACCAAGCATGAAAATGATCAGATAAACCAGGGAGTAGGTTTAACATCATCATCCCTGGTGTACTTTGCCCTGTTTCCTCTGCAGCGTGCAAGGCCTGCTCCCCCTCAGAATTAAAATAAGGTTGTGCCGTGTCCTCAAAACTGTCCTTCGTTTTCTTCTGCAGTTCCCTGAACACGTAGTTGATGCAGGTTGTAGGCTGAATATATCATTCGTTCGTTTGTGGTTTCTAAAGTTTAACTCATAATATGGGGAGGAGTAAGTTGTTAAAGCTCACCATGTTACTTGCTTGAAATTCAGAACAGTTATTTGTCTTTGGTGCACCCACCTGTCCAGTCTCCATGATGCCAGAAAACTTGCCCGAAGGGGTTAAGTCTCCAGGAGGCCCACACCAAGGGGGCGGGGGAATCCCTGCCTGGCCTGAGGCTGTGCTTGTGGGTGAGCGGGAATGTCCCTTGTGCTCCTGGGAATCTCCCTGTGGTGCTTTGGCATAAGGAATGATTGGCAGGCCAGGCTGGATCCTGTCTCAGCCAGAGTGAGATGGCCTTTACAAGAACAATTAGGGACAGTTTGTAAGAAATAAATTGAATACTGTCAGTCTTATCGAGATTCATAGAAATCAATGTTCTATTCCACACATACTCCACAACCCTCTGATTGAGAAAATTTCACTGTATAAACAAAAAACACACACCAGGCAACAGAAATCCCACTAACCCAGTCACCCAAAGAAAGCCCCTTTGGCATTCCGTGTACTCCTTCTGTCTTTATCTGCAGTGCTTTTACTCATGCATACCAGCGTGACTGCTGAAACGTTGGTTTCTGGAATGACCCTTGTCTGCCTTGCCTCTCTTGTACAGGAGCCAATAAACCCTCTAAGGGAAGAAGTATAATTGGTAGAATTGGTGACTCATCTCCAATCCCTGGGAAAAGCGTTCCAGTGGAGCCAGGCCTTTCTGTGGATGAGATTTCTGCCTCCCTCCTGACTGGAAAGCTGACCACTGTCTTCCTTCCGATTGTCTACACGGTTGTCTTCGTGGTTGGTTTGCCGAGTAATGGCATGGCCCTGTGGATCTTCCTTTTCCGAACAAAGAAGAAGCACCCTGCGGTGGTGTACATGGCCAACCTGGCCCTGGCAGACCTCCTCTCTATCATCTGGTTCCCTGTGAAGATTGCCTATCACATACATGGCAACAACTGGACCTACGGGGAATCTCTGTGCAAGGTGCTCATTGGCTTTTTCTACGGCAACATGTACTGTTCCATCCTCTTCATAACCTGCCTGAGCGTGCAGAGGTATTGGGTGATCGTGAACCCCATGGCGCACACCAGGAAGAACGCAAACATCGCCATCGGCATCTCCCTGGGAATATGGCTGCTGATTCTGCTCGTTACCATCCCCCTGTATCTCGTGAAGCAGACCAGCTACATCCCTGCCCTCAACATCACCACCTGCCACGATGTCTTACCCGAGGAGGTGTTGGTGGGGGACATGTTCAATTACTTCCTCTCTCTGGCCATTGGAGTCTTCCTGTTCCCAGCCATCCTCATGGCGTCTGCCTATGTGCTGATGATCAGAACCCTTCAATCCTCTGCCATCGACGAGAACTCGGGAAAGAGGAGGAGGAGAGCCATCAAACTGATTGTGACTGTCCTGGTCATGTACCTGGTCTGCTTCACTCCCAGCAACATTCTGCTAGTGGTGCACTATTTCACCATCAAACACTGGGGCCAGAGCTCCGTCTACGCCCTGTACATCGTAGCTCTCTGTCTCTCCACCCTCAACAGCTGCATCGACCCCTTTGTCTATTACTTTGTCTCAGAAGACTTCAGGAATCACGCAAAGAACGCTCTCCTTTGTCGAAGTGTCCGTAAGGTGAAGCGAATGCAAATATCCCTCACATCAAAGAAATCCTCCAGGAAATCCAGCTCGTACTCTTCAAGCTCAACCACCCTGAAAACCTCCTACTGAGTATTCCAGCTCCGCGGATGGAAGTTTGACGGGAGGCTTCGGAGCTTGCTTAACGTTACGGGGATGTTTCTGTTGTTTCCTAACCAAGAGGGTCTTAACCACGTGCCATGGTTGTGCAGTGCCTTTCAGGATTGCTGGAAGCTTCCCTGTTGGCATGAAGGAAACCCACGAAGGTGACATAAATGCCAGCTCCAGAATGTCTCTACTCAGATGCTCCCAGAATGGAACTTCAGACTTCCTAGAAGGTGGCCCCCCAAAAACCACACACACAACAAACCCAGTGACTTGCAGAAACTGGTTTTGGAAGACTAACTTTTTAGTGGAAACTACATTTCTTATACATCTTGGGTCAAGCACGGTCTTGTTAGGGCTCAAGAACCCCCTGGGATGATACCTCCAATTGATTGAGTTGATGGAGGAAGAAACTTTGAAAGAGGTGAGGGAGCTGCCCAGAGTCAGGCTTCTCACCAGAGGCGGCAAGCTGGGATTGGGCAGCAGCATCTGAATGGTCAGTGGGGTTCTTGTCCCACTTCATCGAAGGCAGTGAGCCGCTTGTTTAAAAATGCTGCAGGCTCTTCAGACTCAGGAATGAGAGCTCGGAATCTGGGGACAGGCCCAGGAACCCGTATGCTGACAAGCTTACTGACGTCAGCGAAATCTGCAGGTAGCCTGAGTTTCGCAACAAGGATCAGAATTTATCACTTAGTATTTTAAGAAATTATTGTTGGACTATTTATTATCAGTTTTGTTCCCTTGTTATCAAATATGAAATTATAAAACCTTCACTAGGTTTGAACCACATCTGTTTGGAAAAAAAACTAAAATAGATGTGATTTGCAGCAATATATCTTAAGGGGTACTTGACTCCAGACTGACTTTATACAACTTGTATTTGTGACTTTTTGAAATAATTATTTTATTTTGTGATTTATAAATCACATGACTATTTTTTGAAAATATTTTTATTGATTTCAGAGAGGAAGGAAGAGGGCAAGATATAGAAACATCAATGATGATAATCATTTGATCGGCTGCCTCCTGCACACCTCCTACTGGGGATTGAGCCCACAACTTGGGCATGTGCTCTTGACTGGAATCAAACCTGGGACCCTTCAGTCCCCAAGCCTATGCTCTATCCACTGAGCCAAATCAGCTAGGGCTCACATGACTATTTTTTACAACTTCTTTTTGAAGTGTGTGTGTGTGTGTGTGTGTGTGTGTGTGTGTTTGAGGGAAGGAATGTAAAAGGGCAAGCAACATCATTCTTCTAAGAAGAAATTATGCACGGCTCACACCTTATTTTTACATAAAAAAGTGCCATGCTGTACATATTGCTCTATGGTAGTTATTTTTCATTTACTTACAATTCAGAATTCTTTCCATGTCTACATCCATAGGCTGACCTTCATTTTTAAAGGATAGACTAATGTTTTGACTCTATTGTGATGTATTTAGTCATTTCCCTACCTAGGGCTCCACTCCCTCCCCCTCCCTCCCCATTAAAATGGTGCTGCATTGAAATCTGTGTGCAGATTTTTTTTTTTTTTTTTTTTATGTTCCTAGAAGTAGAATGGCCACGTAAAAAGTTAGACACCTATTTAAATTTTAAATTTTGGTAACTCTTGCCAGATTGCCTTCAGTAATTTATACTTCTACCAAAAAGTGCATTTGTGCCTGTTTCCTGAAATGCTCGTGCACACTTGATTTATGAATCTTTTGAACTTTTACCAATCTGTTTTGAAGCAGCACAGCCTACTGGCTGAGTGTGCCAATCATGAGCTACCAGGCAGGGCTGAGTTCCGACTCCATCATTTCTTTATTTTTTGTTACCGGAGGGAAAGTACTTCTGTGCCTCAGTTTCCTCATTTGTAAAGTGAGGATAATGTCTTTCTCACTGAGTTATTAGGATTAAACATTTGGCACCTTTATGTAGTCATACATATTAGTAGCATTATTACTATTATTCCTCTGTCTGCTAATGAGGCCTCATTTCTGGTCTGCCTCCTTTCACGCCAATGCCTTCCTCCCCTTTGAGTCTCTAGCAGGCTTGTGTGGTTGTCTCCATTTTACAGGTAAGAAAGCAATAGATAGTCGACACGAGTAAAAGGGAGCAGAAACAATAGGCTCACAGGCCTTGCAGGTGATCTATGGAGGGATTCAGTGGGAAAAAATGTTTGGTATTTACCGTTTATTTATTAGTCGTTTTCATAACACATGCTAAAAAACGCAAAGTGGACAAAAATATGTAACTAAAATATTTTCTTCTTAGCTACCCAGGCTCATTCTCATCTCCCAGAAGGTTAATTTTTATAATTTGTTTGTATACAATATATGTATATTAACCCTTCAAATAAGAATAAATTTTAAAATAAGAATATGTATGTGTATATAAATGTGTATATGTGCAAGTTTTTAATCAGTACAAATGGAATAGATCTTCCTCATTTTTAATGACTAGGTAGTATTCCTTGTATGGATAACTAATTTAATCATTGCCCCGTTGAAGATTAAGTATTTTTCTTGGTTCCTTTTAACCAAGTCTTTGAATCTACATTACGAAGTATAAAGAAAATAACTTGAGAAATAGTCATAAGAATGTGTTTTGTTAAAGCAAAAGCTTTTCAAGTTACATTTGTTTCTTGTGCCTTTGGGGAGTGGTTCATGAGGCCCTGGTCTACCTGAGTTACACTCCATAGGGCCTGTGAGACCTCTGGGTCTGAGCAGAGAAGTGCTGGGTGAGGTTGTCTTTGTTCCTGTGTTACCGGACTTATTGTGGTCTGATTTTTCTAAACCACCTCAAAGTTTGAATATTTAGCATTCCACAAGCTCCATTTACCAAAAGGGTTCTCTCAATTTTAAGGTAATGTGGATTTGCCTTCCATGGTGCAGGACACATTAGCCAAACTGACTTGATTGGAATTGGGTTACTGGGCATATTCTTGAATGTTATGATTGTTTGCAGCAGGAGTTTCAGAAGTAATTAATTTCCTGCTTATCTCAATTTCATAAATCCTGAGGCTATAATCTCATCAGTAGGCATAGTTCAGTGATTACATCTTTGTTCCTGAAACTTTAAGCCTGTAGGAGACTCCTGAGGAGTGGAATGAATGTATCACCAAACCAAAGGTACAGTTTGTCACTGCGGCCGTCTCATTGATTAAAATTACCAGTTTGTGCTGCAGCGTTTGGGTGTCTTAAAAGAGAACTCTCTGATCCCACACTAGTCAAAAGCATGCCTCTAGTCCACCCCTCACCCCCAATCCTGAAATGAAAAGAAAAAACTAAACGCTCAGGGATGAAGTTCTCCATTTTATACACGGCATGGGATTTCACGGAATCCTATTTAAATGCAAATACTGTCATTGGAGTCACCCTTTGGAAATGCCTTTATTGAGGAGGATGAAGAACTCTGTGATTTGGGTATGAGCTGCCCTGGCCTCTACCACTTGGTCGGTCTGTGGAATATCTCCTGGGATCTGTCTTCACTGGTGAGAAATCAGACACAACTCGACTTCTGAGCCACCTTCTTCTGCAGAAATCAGCCCCAGCATGTGGGCTCCATCATGAACACAAATCATCAGCACCTAACATGGTGTGAGTGGCTCATTCCTTCATCCCACAAAGAGTTAGTGCAACATTATTGCCTTATTAAATGCCAATAACTAAATAGGGATTCCTGCCTTAGCAGCAGCCAAGTCGTGGGGCTGATATTCTCAGAGAAATGTGTCAATATTAAAAACAAAAACAACCAATCCTCCAGTTTTTGGTTTAGTCAAAGGCCTTTAACGAATACCCTATTTCAAAGCTCCGTCTCAGGAGTGGGACAAAATCTAGTAAAACGAAGGACAAGAAAGCTTAGGAAGGGCCTTTATTATGGCCCTATCCCTCTTAACACTGTTTTTGCTTAAACCTTATAAAAACAAACACTTTAAAGTTGTAGAAATAATGTGGTTTTGGTAAATCTGAGAATTTGAGCAAATAGTAAAAAGTGATATCTCCCCTCCTGACCCACCATGTCAGAACCCCGTTACTCCCTTTGTGTTTCCTGTGAGACATTTCTATGTACGTGTACGCCTGTGTACTTGTATGCTTTTTTTTTTTTTTTTTTTTTTTTTTTTAGTAAAAGAGGAGTTATGTATTCGTTATATTTATACATAATCAATTACCTCAAAATGTAGTCGCTTAAAACAACAATAAACATTTACTAACTTGCACAGATTCTGTGGGTCATGAATTCAGGAGCAGCTCAGCCAGATGCTTCTGGCTGGGGATGTGGTGAGGTCGCAGTCATCCGTGTACAGTGTGATCCCTCGCAGGGCTGGCACGTTGGTGCTGACTGTTGACAGAAGCCCTTAGTCTCTCTCCACGTGGGCCTCCCCATAAGGCTGTTGAAGGGACCTCATCACACAAAGGCTGCTTCCCTCAAAAAAGAGACCCAAGGGGACATGGGGAAGCTGCAATGCCTTTTAGAGCCTCACCTCAGGAGTCATACAATGTCATTTTCGTGATGCTCTTGATTTCACAGCTTCCATTCAATTTGGAGAAGACTACCTAAGGGCATTAGGAGGCAAGGATCACTAGGGGTCCTTTGGGAAGCTGGCTACCAAATATGTGTATTGTCAAAACAAAAACAAATACAGGGATCCAATTTAAAATGGAGCCATGCTGGAGGAACTGCCTTGCACATCTGATGTCTGAAGTATTTGGAATGTTAAAACGGCAAAATAACCTTTGATGGCCTGAAGCAACCTTGTGTGCCAGAGAACATTTTGCAAAGATAGTAAAGCAAGATGACCACGGAGGTGGCCAGACTGAATTATTGAGAATTAATATCACTCTGTAATGCTATCTGCACCAGTAGAAAAGCCTTCCTACTATTGATGTGGTTCCCTTTTCTGATAAATACCATTGCCTTTGTCTCCTGATCTGAGCACTGTTTAAGCTACTATCTGAATCAGTGTGTCTTAATAGCTACCCTGTTTCCCCGAAAATAAGACAGT